ATTACCATTCCGGATAGTCAAAATGTAGTTTTGTCTAGTCAAAATGCAATTTTAGATATCTGGAATGTAATTACGGATAGTCAGACGAAACCGAATTTATGTTAAAACGGCTTGCCATAGTGCTCCTTGATACATAGATACTGTATGTTGCTATTGAAAATTTGAATTTTCAAGCTTTTTTAAAAATGAATTATCTGGGTATCACAGTTCAAAATAAGTAAAGGATGAAAAGATTCACAGAGGAGAAGGGTATAGCTGTATGACTGGATTTAAATAGCTGGGTGCAGACTCCCCAGCCACTCTAAGTGCCAGTATTAGAGACTTCATTCAGATTCAGTCAGTGTGAGTTGAGTTCAATGAGTAATGATTATGAATGTTTCTTTTTGGAAAATCAGACACAAAAACACTCTGAACTATTTACAGGGTTTCAGGCAGGAGGGTCTAGTGGAGGACCATTGCTTCTACATGGTTGTTGTGGGAAAAACTGTTGCAAATTGAGTCAGACATGTTTTTTCCTCTATTGGAGGGTTCAAAGGGAAATGATAGAGAGACAGAGAGGAATAGGTAAGGAGGATAGAGGTTCGTTACACCATTTGCTGACAAGATCATGAGGCTGTTTTATACCTGAGATATTTTTAAATATGCCACAGAGTGCAAATGATCATACTGGTGAAGGATTCATTTTTACCCTGGACTACCCTGGAGCTCGCAGCTCAAGCCCAGGGTAAAATTCTGCTGCTCACTTGCTGCTACATGCTCACTTTGAAAGAGAAGCTTATCTCAATTTGCAGCTGTAGGTTCCTGCTGTAACTGAGACAGAACGGCTATCAGTGGCTGATGAATGTGTGCTATTTACACCTCTCAACACATCCTTTCTTTGTTTGTGCTATAAATTTATTGGAAGAGCACAAAGCAGAGCTACCTTTACTGTCAGAGCAGCTGACGCCAGTACCCTTTAAAGACAAGATGCAACCAGTGAGTCTGTTCAGAGCACCGAGATGGACACTCCTACCATACTTACTTGGATGGTTCTCCTCCTCAGCTCGACCTGTCATGCTGAAGAGGATGCAGAAGATTTCAACTGTCCAGAACACCAGAAAGGATTTGATGATGCTTGCTATGAGTTTGTGGGTATGCAGCTGTCCTTTCTGAGAGCCCAGGCCTGGTGTGAACGAGGCGGTGGTCATCTCGTCTTCATCCTCAACGATGAAACGCAGCAGTTCCTTCAGACGCACTTGGAGCCAGACAAGAACTGGTGGCTTGGGCTGGCACCGGCAGCTCCAAATCTCACGCTGGATATTGATGCAACTGAGGGTGAGAGCCTTAGGGAATTTTTTCAGTTAATTTTATTAATATTTTATCAAATATTAATTGTATTAATTGTATTAATATTTTATTGGCATGAAAAAATCTGAAGAATTGAATCATGTGTGCTCACCAATTGTGTTTTAATTTTTTCTGAAACATAGCTAGGAGACATAGTTGCAAATATTAGCAACAAACCTGTATAATTTACACTACATATAGTAAATAAGATATATACTATATATACTCTATAATCCATGAAAACCCATAAGAAGTGAACACAAAAAAAACATGACTGAAGGCATCATTTATTTTGTTATCACAGCAGGCAGCCTGAATGTGCATTGTAAAGAGCCCAGATGTATTTTCTGATATTTGTAGGGAGGCTGGAGATCTCAGCAACAGGTGTAGTGGGAGATAATTCTCCGTCAATAGAAATCCCCTTTGCGGGTGCTGTCAAGTGGTCTGATTTATAAAGGTGCCTTTGTACCCTTTCACAAAGAGAGACTAAATCTGTGCTGTCCATTAACTTTGACATCCTATTAATGTTTTACTGTCTGCAACTAAAAATGTCGAATTCTGTTTAAAATGCCATGTTGTTTTCTTGTTTTTTACCAGGTTCTCTTGCATGGTTAGATGGTTCAGATGTTAGCTACAGTAACTGGATTGATCCTCCACTGCCACGGGCAAAATGTGGACATATCCTGAGAGATGCTGGCTTTGAGTGGGAGGCCACAGAAAATTGTACCCAGGAACACAGCTTCATTTGCCAGTTTGGTATGCACCTCTTTAATACATTTGGAATGTTTAATATTTAAGTAAATGATTTTCTAATGTTTCTTTAATCTGTTTACTTATTTGCAGATGCTGGAAGAACGATTGCATGTGAAGGCCAAAATGCCACATTGCAGTGTGGTTCTGGTCAAGTTATAGAGATAGAAGATTCTTTTTATGGTCGAAAGACCATTCATTATTGCAGGTCCAAACCTGCAGCCTCAGGCACATTTTCCCAGGAGGAGTGCAGCTGGATAAATGTGGTTGATTCTGTAATAGGTAATATTATATTGTTCCATTTTTATAAATGTGGCATGCATAATATTGAAAACAGGGACACAGGGACATATTTATGCTTTTTATTACCCAGATATGTAGATATATATAGTACCATTTTGTACTAATCTTCTTCAGTTTGACAAAAATCTATTTACAGTAAATTATTGTCTCCCAACCACAAAATCACAACAGTTAAATAGTGTCAGACAAGTGGAAATATTCCTGATGGAACCCTCTGCCAAGGTTGAAACTGTACATTTACTGCTGGCATATCTCTCAGTTTATGCACCTCTTCAAAGAGCAAGTGCTACTTTTATTGGAAGGGTATGGAATTGTCAGGAGTACAGAAGATAAAGATGAGCATTTTACTTGATTACTTTCATTGTGAAACTTTTGAATGTGTAATTCCAGCTCAGTGCCACGGACTACAGGCGTGCCAAGCTTCAGTGGATCCAGCCTCTTTTGGTGAACCTTGTCTCGTGCTGGGAAGTTACCTTGCTGTAGAGTACCACTGCAAATATGGTCAGACCCTCAATATGTTGTCTTTGACTTCCACTAACTCTGGACATTTCCTCTAAAAGATAACATTCAGAAGCATTAATTGCAGTTCAGTTGCTCTCTTTAAAGGACCATAATATCATTTCCTTTATCTTTATAGGCTTCATTATCTTGCATCGTTTACCTATATGGGTCATCTAATATGGCTGTCAACTAAATTTATCCTCAGACTCTTTTTCCGACCGAGTTCCTTATCTTTGACCTTTCATCTATTTTACATCTCATGTATCAGTCTGAACTCAATAAGTGCAAAATGAAAGTATGCTTTTAGTTCAAGTGACCACAAAAGTATTTTAAATGACATGAAAACTCTATTTCCAGTGTAATTCAATTCTGTGACTCTTGCAGGACTTCATTTACTGATGACAAAACTGGCCTCAGTCTTTGATAATGTCACCATCACTGTGAAGTGGCTCCTCCATCCATTCCAGGGAAACTTAACATGCACAGTGAATGCTGGAGACGGCCACATTATCGATCCGTACACCCCAGAAGAGTGAGACAGACTTTGCTGACAGTGGAAAGAAATAGACTCAACCACAACTGCGTTTTCATGACTTAATGTTTTTTTGGGGGGGATTTCTGTTACAGGATGGAGAGCAAAATTTTGCACAGATTTCAACAACCTGGATTTTTTATGGTTGTGGTGGAGTGCACTACCAATGACTGGCATGTCACTGCTCAGAGAGGCATAACCATTCAGGAGCCGGTTAGGGAGTTTAACGTCATCAAATGCTATAGCAGGAATATGGCAACCAATGGCACTAAATGCAACGCGCAGTATGGCTGGCCTGTTCAGATCCAGCTTCAGGTGGAGGCTGGTGAGTCAGTTTTACTGTTTTACTGATGGATGCCTCAATAAAACACTATTTCTGATTAATTCTGTAATGATTTCATCTTTTTTTACTATACTCAGGCACGAGTGTTTCCTACACAATCAATCATGAGGCTCATATGATTGCAAATTCTACTGTGGAAACAGGAGTTATACCTCATAACATCACAATAACCACAAGTATGGTGCAGAATCTGGGACATGGCTGCCATAATTTGACCCTAGCTGCATCTAACAGAGTCACAACCCGCATGGTGTCCACTGATCTGGTCCTGTGTCTGCTGGAGCCTGTTCATGGCCTGCACGCTTCTGTGATAGCAGAGGCAGACGCGTGTCCAGAGTCCACTGATCTCATCATCGGTGTCACATTGGAGCGAGGGACAGCGGTGGAGCTGGTTTTTAATCTCACTGGAGCCGAGGACACACTGACTGAGACCAGAAGCATGCTGAATATCAGTTTGCAAACCTACACCTTCTCTAACCCACTTGAAGGTACGGTACTGAGAGTTTGAGTTGTGTTGCTATAAAACAAACAAAAAGGATTACTGGCTTAAACATATGTGCTCATCTTTGCTAAACAGGATTTCGCAGGCTGAAAGTAAGAGCCATGAATGCCTTGTTGACCTCTGACGTGGATGTTGATCTAGAAAAGATATTTCAGGCTTGCCAGAATTATTCTGACTCGCAACCAAATCAGGATGGAAATACGGCATGTATAAATAGAAACTCTTACCATCTTTTCACTTTGGAGATGTGTCGTGATTAATATTTAAAACTAGATACACATCTGTTATCTCTGCTACAACAAAACCATTTTGTTTTTTTTCTCTGCAGACTGGCTTTATGGACTTGAGAATTACTGCTTCCCCTGACAAAATGGTTGACCACACTCAAAAGGTCACACTGATGTCAAATGGGATGGAATCCTTTCCCAGAAATGGGACTGCATATGAGTGGAAATGTAGTAAGTCCAGCAATAGTTTACCCACAGATGTTAGTTTTGTCTTGATTTACAACGGTCAGAACTAGTTACTTTCTCCATCTGTCCATAATTTGTATCTTTTTAAAAATAATTCAGAGGTTCCTATGTTCTCATGAATCCTGATATTTATTGATTTAGTCAGAAAACACAGCTTAGTAAACATTCTTAGTCGGGTTACAGGATATCCCACCAGTTAGGCGCGTTATAATAACCGAAAGCATGTTACTCAGGTCTGCGTTTTTCTCTTAGCTTGTACAACAACAGAGCTGTAAATGTGTTTACTTATTTATAATTAACCCTGTTTTTGTGTTTTGTCCATGCAGTGGGAAACTGCAGATGCAGAAACATTGCAAAGGATGAAATTCACATTGTTGAAAAAGACTGCCTTCCAGATCCATTTGAATTTTTAAAATATATTTTAACTGTGAGGAAAAGAACTTGGTTTAGGAAAGGGGGCGATGTTGCTTCAGTGTCCAAGTGCATCACTGTGGCACCTTCAATTGAATTTACAGATATCACTATCAGGTACAATTGTGGCATGAAAAAAAAATCTGTTGCTGATATTGCCTTTTTTTATGTACCGCTGTCCTTTGTATATATGCTTCAGTCATGAAAGTTGTTCATTTTTTACTTGCAGTTGTGAAAATTGTGATTCTCTAAATGAGGGTGACCATGCAAAACTAAGACTTAGATGTGAGACAACCTGCCCAGATGTAGTTTGGTTTATGGAAGATCCCAAACCTTTGGCTGTGAGTCTGATCCAGTATTTTCATGGCACCTCAGCAGAAACTCGTCCTTCAAAGATGTACTGACTATTTGTCATTCCTTAGGGTGACTTAGCTGAATGCTACTCAAAGGCAGGAAGCAGACCAGCTATTGAAAAACAGGATGGCAACACTGAATTTACCATTCACAGCCAGTATCTACAAGCTTCCAGGCGCTTGCGGCACAACATCACCGTGATTGCTTATGGTGGGGTTTCATCATACAGTCAAGCATAAGATTCTCTTATCTGCAATTTTTTTTTGTAAAACCCCCTTTTTCAAACAGGCAAGACCGTGCCTGGTTTTGTCAAATACAGTCTTCCAGTACCAACTCATGACCCGGTGCTGACGACCGATGCACCCGCTGTTGCTTCCTGTAACATCTCCCCGCGCTCAGGAACAGTGCTTGATCCTTTTGACATTACCTGCAAGGCAACACCTTTCTGCTCCACGGGCTGTCTTTACTGCTTCAAGACCAGCACAGGTGATCTGATTATTTTAGTCACTGTCAAACTAAAAAGTAAGAGACCAAAGCAGAATGGCTCAGTTTGTAAAGAGAATATCGACTGGTATCTGACACAGATTTCCACTTTTTGTGAGTGGATTCCTCTTCTGTTGCATAAAGATTTGTTTAAAAAAAAGTAAAGTACACTGTTTCTGGGGTTTTTTTAGGCAAACATCTACGATGCAGCAATTCAAATGAGTTGAAATCCATCTTCTTGCCCTCTGGAGATGAGAACAACGACTACAATTTGTCTGTTTTGGTAACCGTGAAAAATGAGTACACAACAACAACTACAGAGATCGCCACCAAGGTTTGCTGCCCTCCAGTGACCATGTATGTTAAAAATACAGGGTAACTAAAAAAACTGATTCAACAACCTATCTATCTTCTAAAAGGTACGAAAAAGTAGTGACAGCACCTCCATTAGGACCCTGCAGTCTGCAGTGGAGGACACTCTGAGTAGTTTAGAGCAACAAGGCCTTCTCTCCGGTGAGGCACTTGGACAGATATTCACTTCAGTTTCTGATATTCTGAACTCAGAGTCTGGCCAAGATCACAAGGATGCAAAGTCAAAAGTAAGTCAGTTGTAACGGTCACAGGTTGACTAAGTGCTGTGATAATTGTGAGGTCTGCAGCTTGTACCATGAGTGAGTATATTGTATTAGTATTCATTTTCTCCTCTTTTAGCTCAGAGGGCAAATGTTGAACAAAATGACAACCGTTCTACTGGATTCCCCAAGCAACACCACTCAGGAAGTGGAAGTGACAGCTAGAGCCGTGGCAGGCCTCACACAGATCACAGATGAGCTCAGCCCTGCCGCTCAGGTACAAAACTTTTTAGATAACAAACATTTGGTCCTATTCTATGGGGCAAGATGGGGCATTCTTGGTGGATCTTAAATGCATTGGGCCATGCAAATGAAAATATAATAATAGAAGAACAGGAACAACAATGATAATAATCATTATTCAAACTCAAATATTAATCTTTTTCTAGAAATGGAGAAGTTGGCCTTTTGTAAACAGCCTATTGGTAACTCTTGAAAAATGTATACTAGTTTGTATGTTGAAAAGACATGATAATCCCAACCCCCAAAAAGAAATAAAGAGAATAAGAAATGTAACAAATATTAGCTTTTTTCCCTTTAGGGCTACATCCCAACTTTTTTTTGTCACTTTAACTGTATCACTTCTATCAATATCACTTCTGGCTATTGTCTGAAGCTGTTGTCAGTCAATTGGTGGATGAATAGGCCTTTGGAAAAAGGACTTGTCTGCAGAAATATAAGAACCAGGCCAAATTACATCAGCTGCCTGATTCAGATGAAGCCATTGATTTATTTTACTTTGCTCCATCCTGATAAGCCCTTTAATTTGGACAAAAGAACTGAAATGTTTGGCGTTTTTTGTGTATTTTCTCCTCAGGAAGAAGCAGGTTCGTTGTTGGTAGACCTCAGCTCCTCCCTAAAGACCTTCAGTGTTAATCAGCACGGAGCAGATGAGGAAGAAGTCATGCAAGCAGCTACACCAATCGTAGATGCAGCTAGTAATATTCTGAATGTTTCATCAAATGTATGTGCATTACGATCAATGATAGATTTAATTTTAGTCCTCACTTTTCAGCAGTATTTAACAAACACAATATGATTTTATGTACTCAGAAAAAAGTCTCAGATTCTCTTCTGATTGGGATAAACAACATTCAGAGTGTTTTACTGAATAACAAAAAGCTGAATGGACATCCTACTATCATTGATTCTGACCAGATCAGTGTGTATGTTAACAGGTAAGATATGATGGACATTGAGTAGAAAGTACACTGACAATTACAATGGCTTTAAAAAATGCATTTTTTATGATTTTGTAGAATATCTTCAGAAGACATGAAAATTCAGGGAATAAATGTCCAAAAGAACAGCTCCTCCAGATTTACGCTCCCCTTACTGCCTGCTGATGTCATTTCTCCAGATGAGACAGTGGATGTTAGAGTAAGTTTGTGCCAATAGGAGTGAGATAGACAACAAGAGCATTTTAAGGACTGTCTACTACTTTGCATGCTTGCCTTTCAGATGATGACTTTTGAGAAGAATCCATACTCTTGGAAGGAGGAAAACATCACAGGAGCCGTGGGGTCCCTTTCTTTAACCAGAGCGAATGGCACCGTCATACCTGTTGAGAACTTGCCTGAAGAAATAGAGGTACAATCTCACATTGTCCTCTGTACTCTCAGTAACTCAACTTTGGAAATCATTCGCAGGCCTTCTTTTCTCTGGGTTTTCAGATTCTCCTACCCAGGCTTGACACTGGACAGGAAAACAGCACAGTCATTGACCTCGCCAATTTCAGCACATTGATGATTGACATACCGTCTCCAGATGTTACACTAGTGCTGAAAATGGAGCCCTCTGAAGAAATTTCATTAATGCTGTTCCTCGGATATAAAGATTACCCAAGTAATGACAACTATGTAGCCAAGACTCTGATCCCTCAAGAGCATGGAAATGAAGGTCAGTCGTAACACTGTGGCATATGTTTTTGCAGCAGACATATCATGACATATATCGGTATGTTACAGAGTTACTTTATTATTATTTGGGAACAAAAGAAAACGCATCAAAGTGTACCTCGGTCATATTACAAAAGATTTGTGACATGCAGTTTTTCTTTCAGTGTTTCGTGTGTTAATGTGAAGTGTTCTACTGCAGATGAAAAATTTACCTGGGTGCTGAGGCCCAGAGACAGAACTGGAGATGCTGGAGTCCATTACCTTGTTATAAAGCCAGTTGTGGAGCCTGGCGTCAAATCGATCAATGCTACCGTCACTGTTATTTCTATCGCTGCCCAGTGCAAATACTGGAATGAAACATTGTCCTCTTGGAGTGAAGATGGCTGCAGAGTGAGCAAAGAGCATTACAATTTGATATTCAATCATGAAGATACACTTGACCTGTTAAATTTGAGTGTTTGATATTTTCATTCCTGCAGGTCGGGCCTCTCACCACACCCTTGGTGACTCAGTGCCTCTGTAACCACTTAACTTTCTTTGGCAGCTCTTTCTTTGTCATGCCAAACTTAGTGGATGTCTCTCGCACTGCTGAGCTTTTTGCCACATTTGCCAACAATCCTGTGGTGGTTTGTTTTGTGGGTGCCATCTTTGCTGCCTATCTGCTGGCGGTTGTATGGGCACGCAGAAAAGACATCCAAGACTCAGCAAAGGTAATTCTCGAAACACTCCAGACAGTTTATATTACTGACTTTGATCTAGCTTTTAAACGAGGGTTAGGACAAAGTGAAAAACTTACATTCTAATTTGATAGCACAACTTAGCCTGCTTTGCACTGACCCAGCTGGCAGCCTTTGCTACACAAGTAATAGATAATAGATAAACACCTGTTAGTTCATTGACAGCTAATTTTCATTCCCACTTGCAGGTCAAGATAACAGTTCTTGAGGACAATGACCCCTTGGCTGAGTACCGTTATATGCTGACTATCAGCACAGGGCACCGACATGGTGCGGCTACGTCCTCTCAGGTCAGTAAAAGTAATCTGGTGTCACACTTTGCTTTGTTTATGATGCTAACGGCTCTATGGACCCCTGTCCATACCATGTGCCCACTTCTGTTTTAGGTGACCATAACCCTGCTGGGTACCGAGGGAGAAAGTGAACCCCACCATTTGACAGACTCTGAGAAGCCTGTGTTTGAAAGGGGTGGGGTGGACATGTTTCTGCTGACCACTCACTTTTCCCTTGGAGATCTACAGAGCATAAGATTATGGCATGACAATTCTGGAGATCACCCTGCATGGTAGGAAGAAAAACGTCCGAAACTAAGTTTGAATAATTATCATGAGCACAGTGGGTATTTAATGATTCAATGTGTAGGTATGTCAATAAAGTGATGGTGCAGGATTTGGAAACGGGTCAGAAATGGCATTTTCTGTGTAACTCCTGGCTGGCCGTAGATGTGGCCGAGTGCACTCTTGACAAAGTCTTCCCAGCAGCAACAGAGACGGATTTGAAGAGATTTAGGTGAGATCTGCTAAGATAAACACTGTCAGTGTACCTTTGTTAACTCTCCATTGTTGTCACAAGATTAATCTGCTGTGTTCTTTCAAATCTGACTAGTAATTTGTTCTTCATGAAGACGGCCAAAGATTTCCAAGATGGCCACATCTGGTTCTCTGTTGTTAGTCGACCTCCCAGCAGCACTTTCACGCGCGTGCAGCGAGTGTCCTGTTGTTTTTCCCTTCTGCTCTGCACCATGCTGACCAGTATCATGTTTTGGGGAATCCCCACTGACCCCTCTGAGCAGACTATGGACCTAGGTATGCAAGAGAAATGGATTACTACTTTGAACTATGGATTTATTCAATCTAGAATCTAGACGCATACAGTAATGTAAACAGAATTTTTTTTTCTTAATCGACCGCTTATCTCCTGGCATAAACATACAGAGGATATCAAATTATTCCCCCTTGTTTTAGGACTTTGCCTTTGTCCAAACAAAACAGGGTTTCTAAAAGGCTGTTATCATTTATTTGCATCATGGAATCAATGGTATCCAAAATGTTAAAGTCTCACAGACACAAAGTGCGACAGTCCCATTTATTATGTGATTCACTTAAATATGACAAGACATTACTTTGCAGGTCACATTGAGTTCACCTGGCAACAAGTGATGATTGGAATTCAAAGTTCAATCATCATGTTCCCCATCAATCTCTTAATTGTGAGCATCTTCAGAAACACTCGTCCTCGAGAGAAAGCATCCAAAATGGATCAGAGAGCTTCAAAACAGGGGAACACAGTGAAAGTTTCCCCCTCACAGACCTCATCCCCTCAGAAAGAAATTAAGGACATCACTCCAGATACCGTGATAAAGGTAAAGCTGCAGATATCCTTCTAATATGAACAGACTATTCATTACATTGCTCTTCATGTCTGAGCCATATGATGTGCTGACCACATTAGGACATCAAGAGAATTGCTCAGTCACTCTCAAAGGCAGTGAAGAGTCCACTGCCACATCTGGAGCTCCATCCTGGTCAGCATGCTGACATCAACACTCTACTGTCTCTGGTGGAGGACATCATCAGACAGCAGAATCGAACAGCTGGAGACTTCTACACTGACACTTTGAAAAGCGATCGAACTATGATCCTCCATTTAGGTGGAGTGAATCTCCAAGGTAATGTACACCATATTTATGTGTGTTGTTTTTGTGTGAAAATGTATATGCATCATTCCCTGCTTACAGTTTCTTGCATGGACAGAAAACAATGTATGGGAGAGCCCAGAAAGGACATCTGATGACATTCAGAAGAAGAGCAACAACAGCAGATACCTCTACAGGCAGCTGCATCACGTTGAGAAGGAGCTCGGTCTGTTGGGACCGTCTCGTTTTCCTAACTTAGACAGCTACAACAAGGCCATGCACCAAGTGCAAGGGATGAAAAATCATTTGGAGTTCCACCTGCTGTCGTCCAGCCTTGACGGGGAGCAGTCCAATCACAGCCCCAGCTCAGACGAGAGTATTGACGGCAGCTCTAACAAGAAACACCACCAAGGAGGTCTGCCATGGTGGTTTGTTTTTGTTGGGTGGACATTGGTGATAGCAACCAGTGGAGTGTCAGGATACTTTACGATGATGTATGGGCTGACCTATGGGAAAGACCGCTCTATAAGTTGGCTTATCTCCATGGTGGTTTCCTTTTTTGAAAGTCTGTTTATCACCCAGCCTCTTAAGGTGAGCAGTTTCAACTGACACAGCATCAATAATTCATTACATTTTAAGCTTTACTTTCCTCTTACCTCACTGATGTATAATGAAAGTGAATTCCTGTTGTTGTCACGATAAAACATTGCACAATAAATCTTTTCTTTTTTCTGTTGCTCCATGATTTAACAGCCAGTTTTTCTAACAGAAACAGAACCTTTTTATGTTCCTCCCATGCTCCAAGAAAATTTGTAAATGTATTTTCAGGACCTAGATAAAGAAATTATGGCCTTGAATCACTTGATTTTTTACACCAAATAAAATTTTGACGAGTTTCTCCAGTGAAGTCTGAAAATCTTTTGTTGTAGGTCCTTGGTTTTGCCGCTTTCTTCGCTCTTGTACTGAAGAAAGTTGACCAGGAAGAGTTTGGAGAGCCACAGATAGATGAAAATTTCAGAAAATCAGGCATGGTCATTTGTTCTTTTATTCAATCACCGTATTTTTTTTTTCCAGTGTTGGAAATGGCAAAAAGTATACGATTATAAAATTCTGCCCACAGACGATCCTGATGCTGTGCGGATAGCGAGAAGAGACAGCACAAGCAGTTTCTATCAACCACCACCTCCTACTGACGTGGAGAGGTTGCGGAGTAACATGATTAAAGAGCAGAAAGTCTTTGCCCTCATCAGAGAGATTCTTGGTAAAGTAACCATTATGACACTCAATAGATGGCAACGTGTACAGTTTGATACTAAGAATTTTTGTTTTCAATGCAGCCTACGCTGGATTTATGTGGATGTTACTGCTGGTGGCATATGGTCAGAGGGACCCCAACGCTTATTTTCTGACACAACACATTCGACAAAGCTTCAGCAAAGGCATCTCAGATACCATGAGTATTCAGGATGTCTTCGACTGGGCTAACACAACTTTGCTGGCTAACTTGTTTGGAGAGCATGCAGGTCAGTATTCAATGAAGATATTTAGTTCGGTTGTATTTTATCAAGCATGTTCCTTTAAAGCTCGTTATTTTTGTAAAAAAAAGCTGAGCTGATTATTTCATTTACTTTTAAAACAGGAAAAACGGAAGCCACAAAAAACAGAATTTAGAACTGAGATAATTAATGTCTTTGAACTTCAAATATAATATTATATTCTAACTTGTGCAAATACTACGATTTACCCACCATCCTAAGGCACACCCAAGAATAATAAAAGCTATGATAAATTGCCTTTTCTTTTAAACATTTCTTGTCATTGTCAGTGATTATGGTGCCAAACTATATCAGTTTGGTGTAACTAAGACTAATTGAATTGCTGTCTCCAAAAATATGAGTTCACATGTTGTCATCTGAAAATCTTGCTCAGGATTCATCACGGATGGAAATTCGAAGCTGGTGGGCAATGCTCGAGTCCGCCAGATTAGAGTACAGAAAAACTCCTGCCACATAGCTCGCTCCATGCGGCACACTGTGCCTGGATGTCATGCTCCATACTCATGGGAACTGGAAGACATGGGCTCTTACGGCCCAGGCTGGAGTCAGTCTGAGGGTCATAATGCCTCACTGACCCCTCACAGCCCTTGGACATACAAGTCTCAGAGGAAACTAAGGGCTTACCCCATCTGGGGTAGTGTAAGGCTCTACAGAGGAGGGGGGTTTGTGATGGATCTGGGGCCAGATTTACAAAATTCAAGCAGGTTTGTGTTTGAATACTTTACTAAAATCACTAAATGTATTGGCCTAGCTTACATTTATGTATTTTCTTCCATATATGTGCAGAATTCTTCAGTATCTTCATGACAACACCTGGTTTGATATGTACACCCAGGCAATCTTCATTGAGTTTACTGTTTACAATGCAAACGTCAACCTTTTCTGCATTGTAACACTGATGCTGGAGACTACAGCCATAGGTAAGCAGCCTATGTATGGATACTGTATTAGAGCAGTGTAACAGAGCCATCATAACTGTTGTGGGGTTTCTCTTCCAGGAGCTTTCGAGTTCCGCAGTGAGCTTCAAACTGTTCGTCTTTACCAGTCAACTGGTGGCCTCCACATTTTTGTTATGGCCTCTGAGGCTGTTTATTTTCTCTTTATCATCTATTACATGTTTATTCAGGTAAACACTATCCTAAATTTTATGCCATTACATGTGACATATTTGTGTATATTTTCACTAAACTTGAACATATACCAAAATGTCCTCCTTGCCATTGACAGGGAAAGCTAATGAAGGCACAGAGATGGGCTTATTTCAAGAGTAAGTGGAATCTGCTTGAGCTGGCGATAATCATTCTCAGCTGGAGCGCTCTCTCTGTCTTCATCAAGAGGACTTTACTGGGAAAGAGGGACATAAGCTATTATCAGGACAACAAAGAACAGTAAGAGATAAGATAAACACAACAAGAACATAACCACAGTTTCACGTAGGAAACCAGGAAAACTGCTCACCTAGATTTATTCTATGAAAGTTTTTTTTACATGTCCTTCATTGTTTTTCTTTCTGTAGATTTACTGTTTCCCTTGTACAGTGTATGATTATTGATATTTTTGATTTTCTTTTAAAAACAAATAGCATTGGAGAGATCGAAACTCATATGTCAGTTAATGGCTTTTGCTTTTGGCTTTTTCCCAAGAGCATTTTGTGTAACCTTTTGTAGTGTAAAAGATCTAACCGGTCTTTTCGAACTGAACATAATTTAAGGTTGTAACGTAACTAACTTCTAACCTAGCTTCTGCTTGAACATCTGTCTAATAATATCAAAACAGCATATATTTGCATGAAGGTTTCATAATGGCTGATTTTCCCTGTCAAAACAGATCACTCGCACCAGGTGTGTTTACATAAGTGCAAAGTGTGTTTAAGTACTCTAGCCAATTGTTTCTGGTGATTTCAACAGATTGAACAAACCACCCCGCGGAACTGACTGAACTAACCAGTAATGTTCCAGGATGCACTGCTTACCAGAGAAAAGGATCACTATTAAGGCGCAGAATTAACTTTTTCACTCTGAGTTTTGCAGAACTTGTGATTGAACAGAAATGTTTAAGCATTGTGTTCACAATGGCTCATGTTTTGTTTAAAATCAGCCAATAAGAGAAGATCAGAATAACAATTTAATCCTGCTCTGAAATAAAAGAAAAAGTCAATAAAAAGTTAATAACAATTTTATTTGAATTGTAGTACAATAAAAAAAATTGACTGAAGCTTCAGTTCATGGACGATAGAAAAATAAACTGAAAAGTACCAACACAATTTTCCTGTTGCTTGTTAAAACAAAGCTGTTTTTTCTTTATCTGAATCCAGATATGCCAGTTTCCATGAAACAGCGAAGGCTGATGCAGTGCTCGGGTATCTGATTGCCTTTCTGGTACTGCTGGCTACAGTCAAGCTGTGGCACCTGCTGAGACTGAACCCCAAGCTGCACATGATCACAGCCACGCTGCAGCGAGCCTGGACTGATATTTCAGGCTTCCTGGTGGTCATGATAGTCATGTTCTTGGCCTACTCCATTGCTGTGAGTAGTTTCCCACACTTAACATTAACAAGTGATGGTGTTCCTGCATATCTGTCTGTTACATCAATACATCATAGACAGATCATATTATAAAGATATTATTGACACTGGGATTAACTTTATATATTTTTTGGTATTTCAGTCCAACCTGATGTACGGGTGGAAGCTGTATTCTTATCGGACTCTGCTTGATGCTGCACAAACCATAGTCAGCTTGCAGCTTGGTATTTTCAACTACGATGAGGTTAGTATGAGGCTGCAGTAGCTGTAGCGTTGCAGATTCTCACAGCTGTTGTTTCTGCCGTACATTTCTTCCTTGTGATCCCTCAGGTTCTGAATTACAATCCAGTTCTCGGAGCGTTCCTCATTGGCTCCTGCATTGTGTTCATGACCTTTGTGGTGCTGAACCTCTTCATCTCTGTCATTCTTGTGGCATTCAGTCAAGAGCAGATACATCACAAGGTAACTTATCCATGCGAAATGTTTTGAACTTGCTGGGAAGGTTATAAAATCTCATTTTTATGGAAACCACAACAGGTTACCAGAGTTATACCTCATTTTTACTGTTCTTACAGCCATCAGAAGAGGAGGAGATTGTGGACCTGATGCTGATGAAGCTCTGCAGTTTGTTTGGGCTCAAATGTAAGAAACAGTCAGGTGATTGTTCAACTGTGAAGCAATTTGTTTCATCTGTCCCAGATCACAAACTCTCGACAGTTTCTTCTGGCAATATTCAGGATGGATTATATGTCCCCCCTACTTAAACATTAGAAGAACCTAAGGCAGCTTCACTTCTGTCATTGCTGTTGTATTGGAGGCATCATTCATATCATGTTGTTGCTTTATAACTGAGCATTAGTCCATGCAAGTTAATGTATGACCAGCTGCAGATCTGTAACTGTTATATGGGTAGATAGCAACTAGCAAAAAGCAAAATGTATAGGGACAATGCGTATATTATTCGCTAAGATATTAAATTCATGATACAGTATATCATCCAACAAATAAATTTGTGCTTCATGTGATTAAACGGTCTGTAGTATAATATCCTTTGTTTTGGATATCAGTGGAATTATGTGTTATCATCATAGGATACTTTAAGACATTTCAGAATGTATGCTTTATTATCTATTTCAGCAGCGGTAGGCTCAACTTGGTGAGCCACTTCTAACAGACAGTAGTGATGTGGAAGAATGACAAAAAAATAAGATAAGTTTATTGCAAAAAAAGTGAAAAAAATGGAACATTTATTTTCAAGGAGCATAATATTTCACTGACAATCCACATCAAATATGTTACTTTTGAGAGTAAGCCAAGGTCCTGTTTGGAGGTTTAAATAAGAACTTGAAACATTGATGAGGTGGCTGCATTAAACCGTACTGGGTTTATGTGGTACTACCTTTGAATGTGCATGTCGTTAAGATCTAGATTGGCTTTATGTATAAAGTACAGATACATAGTCGAATGTAATCTAATCTGCAGATCAATTAACCATAAACATGAGTCCATACTTTAGTTGGCAGCTGCTAATTCACAAGTCAATGTCAACCATGCTGCTGTGCTATGGAAATAGATTCCTGTCACTTTCATGCCCTTTGGCTTGACAAAAAGCTCTATGTTGATGGCATTTTGAAACAGGACTTAGAGAAAGTGTATCTATGTGTCAATCTTGTGATTAATGAGACTTGCCCTGAGACGGCCCTGGTTTTCTGTGTGGCTACTTCCCTCGTTATAGGTCAGCTGAGGGAAATCTTAATAGCTGAATTTGTCAGTTATTTGGTGTTGAGGTCTTATTGTAACTCAGGACGCTTGAATAATTTTTTTCTCCCAATGACTTGGATGTTTTTACACTTCAAAGCTGATCTAATTTGGCTAATGAACAATTTGGGAACCTGAATCCGAGAGCATAAAGGTGTAGAACAAGCTACAAATTTAAAACTGTCCAGGACAGACCATTCAAACCACTCTTGCAGCATATAGCATGAGGATAATCTGGAAATTTTAGACTCAGCGCACACCTGAAACATAAAAGACAACTTTAATTGTACGGTTACATAATGAAATATTTACTGTTCATTTTGCATGCTATACCTATTAAAGTTGATATATTGTACTTTATGTTGCATTGGTTATATATTAAGCCTATTATATCATACTAGTGCATTTTATCATTCATTTTCTCTCTAATTCAACTCAATGCTTGTGTGTGTTGTGGTTATTTCTTGCTCCTTAATTGAATTTGATAGTTTCTCCTTTTACATGCTTTTGACTTGTACCGGTAATTGAATTTAGACTGAAAACTAATTTACCACGTTGACATTGACTCAAGAGCCAGACATGAGATGAATGAAAAATGTGAATCTTCCAGGTCAAAGGTATTATTGAACTCTAAACAAGAAAAAAAAAGAAGTCCTGTAATGCTGTAATATCAGCGTGATTTTAAAAATGAATGTAATTACCACGTTTGGAAACCCATTACTCAACTCCTCCTACTACAGAAATCCGGACGTAGCTGGTACGTATTGCGTCATCGGGGTGGGCGTAACTCCCCGCGTGAGCCGCTCTGGTCGGCCGTTGACAACAAACAGGAGCCTTCGGAGCACCGAGGGGAAAGTCAACGGCCGAGTGGCAACAGTTTGCCACCTCAAACAACACAACTCAGGCAGAGAGCTGTAGTAGGCGAAACATAAGTTATCGTCAATAAGACTTAGTGGTCAGAGAAAAAAACTTCACATTTCAGCGTCGTGACGCTGTAAACTGACGGTGTCCGGTTTCCCCAGTCTGAGGGATTGCGATGCCCTCAGACTTTATCTCCCTTTTCAACGGGGACCTCGACCTGAATTCTCCCAGATCCTTGTACTCTAAAGGTAAGAAAATACATATGTATTTTTATGTCGCTCTTTTTTTTTTCTCCCTATTTTTGTTTTAGGTTGTAAAGGTGTAACTTGCCCCTTAACCTGTGGTTGGTCGCAACTGGTGGTAGGAGTGTGAGAGGCGGCTGTCAGTGACATTCGTCTATGAACTACACTTTGTCACATGCCGCTCGCGCTCATCTCGAGCCACTTTGTGTGTGTCTCATACGCAGGTTGTGTCCTCACTTTTTCCCAGGCCTTTTTCGCTAGACCGAAGCCCCGACCGGCTGCACATGCACCGGTCAGACTAGTTCACTATCTCCTTGTCAGCCTTAAAACAGTGCTATCTATTTTTTGTCGGGCTGTTTGAATAGGCCGTCGATGATTACACCCCCCCCCCCACCCCCCACCCCCGGGGCCGCCCCCGCGAGGTCCCACACATGCTCTCTTACGCATGCACTGCTCCCACAGTGGCGCTCGTGGGGCCATTAACATAAACTTTGTAATCATCTGCGAGGCAGCCTTAGGCAAGGTGAAGGTAGACGAAGCAAACTCTGATGAACTCACAGCACCAGGTGCTCACTGTGAAAGACAAGCTTTACTCTACGCTGTCACTCACATAAACTGCCATTCATTCAAGTAGAGTTTATTTGTGTTTGTTTTGAAATCAAATCTTTGAGTGGAGTTTGGCAAAACGTTTTATACACCATATAGCGTTATTTGAGACTGCAGACGGGCTTGATCATTGGCCTGTGTTGGAGTGTAGAGATCTTCCTTTGCATGCATTCCTCCTTTTTATCAGACATTTTTGTCATTTTTTGCAGAAAACTATCAATAGACAAGATAGTCGGAAATATGTTTCTGTGCTGATTCAAATCAAAACACTTTGTCACTGCAAGGGTGCAAACCAAGTCAGGTATAATTATAATTTATGACTGCAACTTTTTTTATTACCCTGAACATCTTCTGTGTTGATGTGGGAAAAAGGGCTGTAGTTCAGCATGAAAAACTGGTCTGTTTAATTTGACAAATTCAAATAAACAACCATGGTGTGAAAGTGCTGCGTTGAACTTATCAACACATTTGTTCATCTCATCTATAAAGTTAAATGAAGCCACCCGCAGTTTAACTGGAAAAAAAGTGATTCACTGCTTCAGTTTCAGATGATCTGCGTCAGCTCATTAGGGTGCAAAAAAGTGAGTCTATTGGCGTTTTTCAATTAGTGCCTCCTCAGCCCTACACATTTTGGCCTGGCATGGCTCTACACGGTTTAGATGGTTTTCCATTACAAATTAGAACCAAGCAGAAAGACGAGCTGACCGGCGCATGACGCCATTCATACGCGACACAAGCACCAGACAGCGATCAAGGACAACCTGGCAACAAGAAACTGACTAAACCTCGGTGTTGGTTAGTGTATGAAACATTTACAATGTTTATCATCATAGAGGTGATTCAATTCGACGTTCGCCGGTGCCCTTCTTTTCAAATAGGCTGGGTTTACCTGACGGACTCAGATAATTAGGTCCAATCGTGTGCATACCAGCATCTATGATTCCACTTTTCACTCAGTTGTAGGTTCCTGGGCCTTTGACAGATTCAGAGCGCCTTCTTTTTCTTCAAATGAATGACACACTGCAGTTCAGATACTGCTCAGTCCTTTCTTGCACATGTGTTGCTTTGAATTTGAGTGCTCCAGTTTTGGGCATAATTGAGGGTGGGGCAACTAGCTCAAATGGATTAAGCCTGGGATTACTGTTGTCTTCCTCCATAATGTCCACTTCGGGGGCTTCTATGTGGGGGAAAAGTAAACCATCTGAGAAGAATGATCTGTGGAAGGGCCGTACGGTCTCTGTTGTGTTGAGCAACTCTTAATGCACACATTCACAGCACCCGGCCTAACCACCCCCACCACTCTCCGTTCCCTGCCTGCGGCCCTCACACTGGCTTCTTCACTTGTTAGCATATTTCCGTTAATGCAGCGGGTGGTTTTAGGCCAAGAGTGAACTTCCAGTGAAATTACCTCTCAACCATGAAAAAAACAAACAAACAGGACTGAAAACAAAAAGTTAGCGAAAACAGATTGTGTAAAGATTCCTGTGCAACAATCAAAGGGTAATGTCTGTCCTCCTCAAAACTGATTCCAAAGGGGAGTTTCTTTTTTTCTAAACCTGCTGAGTAATAACTCAAAATTTCCTTACTGACTTTTTGACAGTTGGAAAACAAATGATGCTGAGATAAACTTCTTTTTTAAGTTATTGTCCTAAAGAATTTACAAAGAAAATGAAAAGCAAGCACTTTTCTCTATTTTATGAGGCCAAGAAGTTCAATAATAAAGTGAGTTAAACTATGGTCAAATTTGTCATCTGTCTACTTATCAGCAGACTTTAATCATGCAATAAGAAATGGATACATTCGGAGACGACCTGTATGTTGTATATGTACGTGTGTTTAATAATCCTTGTCAGTATTAACATGTTTTACCTCCACTGGTTCCCTGTTAGGTTGGGTTGCATTTCGCTGAATTGCAGCCACGTTATTCTAGCTTCATTGTGTTGTCTTGCCAGTTTTTCCGTCTCAGGCTGCTAAATCTTATTGAGGAACTTGCATTTTTAGGTTAGGGTAATTTGGGGAATACAAAGGAAAAGCAACACCCTGTAACAACAGCACACAGCATAGGAAGACATTACAGGCCAGTTTTTGTGGTCGCTCAGGGATTGTAGGTCAGTGGATGTAGTAAACGTCTTCCCAGCCATTGCAAAGTAAAGATGAAGCAAGTTATGGCTTTCCTATAAGTTCTAGAAGCAAATTTAACAACTGTAAACCCTTAGATCTTAACATAGTTCTTTTTATTTTTTTATTTTTTATTGACACCCACCAAATCTTGGTCAATCATTAACTCCCGGGCTGCTCTGTGTATAAACCTGGGTTTAAATAGCACTCTATTAATATTGACTCTGCTGTGTTAAACAAACTTAGTGGCATGCGCTTAAAAATACTTGACTGCCTTGAAAACATGTCATTATCAGATAATGAAAGAAAAAAAGAACGAAGAAGAAGTATAAGAAGATTGAGTAGCCTCATGATAAACCCAGACCGATTTGGGATCCCGTCGTTGGGATCCCAAATCTGCATTTGATAGTGAAGTGTTTTGTGTTGTGATGTAACTAAGTAGCAAATCAGCGGTTTTGAGAACGTTAGATCAGTGGAAACCCGAAGAGGCACATAGAATGTTTGTTGTCATTCAGAGCATTCTGTGGTCTCTTTATCTGTTAAACATCAACCCAAACCTGTTCTGCACACTTCAGGCTGCCACTCTGCCTGCTGCAGCTTTGCTCTGCTGGAGCCAACATAGAAGCCTGACCGAAATGTACACAGAACACAAATCTCTCACTGGAATGGAGCTGTCCTTATTGTGTTTTTGAGCATAAATCTACCTGGCATTTTCCTATTGAACCATTAGCAGCCAAATTGAGGCTGAAGAATCACCGTTTTTGCATTCTGACCAACTTGGGAGTAGAGAGCTAGATTGGCTCTTAAACAAGCACCGGTTCAGTTGGGATACAAAAAAACTAAATGCATTGCCATTCAAACGTTGCTAGCTAACATGGTGCAAAGTGGTTCGGTAATAGCTGAAGAAGCATTGAAGTTGTGGTAACTCCATTATGTGAGTTAGGAATCACTTTTCCTGTCATCTAAGCTGCATAGAGCTGTCATCTTGGCCAATCAGGGGAAGGCCTTGATAACAGAGTAGAGTGATGAAAAGGAATGACAGCAGACAGACGGGCAGCAGATTTAAAGGATATTTGGTCTTCCCTTTAATTCATATCTTTGAATATCAAGCAGATGTCATGCAGCAATATTTTAAGGGTTTT